ACCAAGGAGCCACCAGGAGATGGACGACCGACAGGATCAGATGTGATGAAAGCATCACAGGAGGGAATGGGATCGTTCTCCAATTGAATTAGATAAGTCAAACACTATGTACTACAATAGGATTGGAATAATATGAATATTATGTTCTATGATTAGTTGATATTTGCTGATAAGAACACTAATTGTGGTTTTTCTGTCTTACTCAGTTTGAGGGGATGGATTGTAAAGACCGGTGACTCCAGGCATAAGACTGCAAACCTTCAACTTCTGCCTGCAAAATACTAAGGCGGGAACCGGTGATCCTGTGTTCATGCCTTTAAAAGCCAAGGACAGAGCCCTGAAGTGAAAGAACTATATTTTTTATTTTTTCAACAGGAAAGAAGACAACACAAGTATCGATTATTCTTGTATTCTGTAAATATAAACCTGATGATTGTAACATGCCATTGCTTTGCATTATAACCTGTATTACTGTTTTATTATTTCACATTGTGAACCATCCATAGCAGGCTGTTTAGAGGACTGGGGACTCAGACTACTGACTGACTGACCTACTTAATTTTTCCTTTTCTTTCATTTACCTAGCCTTATATACTACGATACACTATAACTAAGTTCAAGTTATTTGAAAGGTTGTGAATAGTTATCTTTCACATATTAAGTAATATCAAGATTGGGTTGTAGGGTTCAAACAGTGTTGGTTTCACAGATCATCATGAGTAGCATGGTCAAGATGCGATTTGTGCTACAGCCGACGCCGGAGGAAGGATGGATGTTTGGGGGATGCTTGGGTCTATGGGATAGTTTCCTCTTACATGAGTATGAAATGAAAGAGTAAGATGCCCACAGGACGAAAAAGGGGTTTTCGATCCCATACTAATCGAATCATGGCCATGTGGAAAATGATGATCTTTCTTTGAAGGTTCAGTAATATTCACTTTGTTTTGATATTCACTTTGGTTTTGTTATTAATCATGACACTTTAATTTTCATTTAATTTGTTTTTCTCAACTTGCATCCGTACTGGGCTGCGTCGGTAACACTTAGATACCGTTTCATTTAAACTTCACATACACGTAAGTGCACTTAGTTGCGTAATATTACCATCACTATGCAAATTCTCATTGGTACTTCATTTTCAATGAACTACAGGAGGGAATGTAGAAGCGAATTGTGTTGCCTTAGGTCATCGTGACCTTAAGCTCACAATAATTGATAACACAGAGCAAGCAGTCTGGAAGCCACGTACACATCTTGGCAATAACAAGTGTTCACAGGCTGGAAGCCACGTACATATTGGCAGTAACAGTGTGTTCACAGGCTGGAAGTCAAGTACAAGTATTGAAAAACAGGGTCTTTAAGGCCCACTCGCACGCAATCCGGTCACAGGCCAAGAACTTCCAGGAAATTCTTCAGAGCGTCCAGTCGTGCACATACATCCACACAGTGCAATGTTGAAACTATATAAACGCCCAGATTTGAATGAGAGTTGAGAAAAGCTAGATGTGTTCTGTTGAAATGTTCAGCGCTGTGTTACGTGTACTGAGGACAGCATGTCAATTTGATCTATAAAATAAATGCTTCTTCTCCCGTCCTGGGGCAATCAGATGATCGACTGAAGGTGTCCTGATTTTTGACATTCTACCATTGAAAGCCACCACATTACGAGAACAGGAGGGCCTACACTACATTTTTTAACAGTCCAGCAGGTAGTGTGTCTTGGCAGGAAAAAATGATCTAGGCTGATGTGATAGGTGTTAACCTATGAAACCCAAAGACTTCTTTTTAACTGCTGTGTATGTTTTCCTTTCTTTTGACTTAAAATGCATGTGGTTAATAAAAAAGTTTTAAACAGTATGTGTTCTCTCCAGTCTCTGTAATACAAGAGTAGCTACTTGCATTCATTCACACTAACTTGTGAATGGCTGTGAGGCACACCACATTTACATAACAACACAGAGGTGTAGGTATGGCCCCTCTCCCATCCCAAGTGCACTGACTCAACACAAAACAAAATGGGACTGAATACTTTTATTATATTTGAATATAAGCTAATATTTCAATATCCTTATTAGTTTTGGTAGTGCTGTTGCTACAAACAGTACATGTATGTTTATGCCATGTAATAGCTGTAAGAACACATCAAAAACAGTACAGGGAGAGCTGGGGCCTTACATAAGACTACAAAATTTGCCTTTTGACTACACAGAAAACAAGGAATTAATGATGATTAAACATAATACCATGTAATGTGTTTTTATATATATATATATTTAAATATATATATATATATATATATAGAGATAAAAAGAACCCTAAACAAGATGGGACCGAATACTTTTATATATTATATTTGAATATAAGCTAATATTTGAATATCCTTGTAATTAATTATGATTAAACATAGTATCATGTAATGTGTTTTTTTATTTTTATATTGATAAAAAGAAATAAAACACTTTCCCAACAGTTTATGACAGTATTATTGACAAATACTTACTATCCTCTTCCATGGCAGCAGCTATTTCTTTCCACGCATTTTCTTTTTTTTGTGTTATCCTTGTAAAAAGGATTTGAAGTGTCATAAATGATGGGATGGTTTTCAACCTCGTGAATGAGCCTCTCGTCGTCCATTGCTGTAAATCAAGTGATGGGGCACAAAGTTTTGACCCCGTCTTTACCAGCAGGCGGCAGTGACGTCATATGGGTTGTACAGAGGGAAGGCGGAGAGAAAGGACAGACAATACATGCAAACGAACGTGTTTTATTTTGAAAAAAACAGGAAATCTTTTATTTTCATTGGAAAACTTCCAGTTTGTGCCGTGGTATTTGCGAGAGCTTGTTGCGGATGCCTCCGGAACGCCGCAAGGATAGCTTTCTTGCGGAATTTTCTGCAGCGCCGGAGTGTCTCGGTAACCGCAGCCGGACAGCTCAGCAGCCGGTGAGAGAGGTTTACGTCTTTTTAATGACTTGGAATCCTTGCGGCGCCGCACACACCGCACCGCAACGGTAAGACAGGAGTCTGTGTGAGCCTGGGGTAAACCTTTTTCCTCACAGCTGGCGCAGAGGGAGCAGTTGCTGTAAAACCCATCGGGTTGTTTGTGACAGCATTGGGCACAAATTCTGTCGCCCGTGGGTTGAATTCAGCGCGTCTTTGCTCTTTAAGTCCCTTATTGACATAAGAGTTCATTCCATCGGACATCGATTTAGATTTTCCTCCAACGCTACTGCTTTCCAACACAGAAAGGCGTGCTGCTGCAGCTGCTAATTGCGCATCCAGTTCCAGTTGTTCCTTTTTCTTTCTTATCTTGTCGGCTTCCAGTCTGTGTCTCTGCTCTAATTCCTCCAATTCATGTTTCCTTTTCAAAGCATCTGCCTTTGCCAGTAAAGCTGCTTGATCAGCCAGGGCTCGTTTACGAGCAGAGGATGTGCTGGACGCATGACTGCGCTTAGAAGGCTTACTTGAGACGTTTGAAGCACTATCCTCAGGGTTTATGTTATCTTCGACCGCACCACAACAGTTCTCCACTTGAACATTAGCAGCATCAAGTTCATTACAGACCTTCAAATTTTCTTTCAACCAGGTGTTCACTTTATTCATAAACTCATTATTTGCGCTTTCTTTCTCCTGAAACCAGGCATTTTGTCTTTGTTGCTCAACCTAGGGCAAATTAAAATTATTTAACAAGCTGTCGTGGGGAGATGATGCCTTTTCACACAACGTATTGAACTCTTGTATGTATTGTTTAACCTCAGAAACATTTTTATTTGACAACCACAGCTCTGTTATTTTCGACTTTATTTTACTTGCATTTTTAAACACTTCACTTCTTTCCTTTTGCACCTTTTCAAATGCAAATACAGTACCCTTTAGCGAAAGTTTCCTTTGTCTTTTTTGAGCTTGTGTGCCCATAGGCTCAGTTTCATCATTAATATCACTCATTTTCCACTGTGGCTTAATAAAGACAGTAACGTGCTGCGTTACGTTGCTCCTGCTTTACGTTGCCAGAAACGTTCCAAACTGCAGAACACCAGCGCATTTACATAAGTGGCTGTTGAATATTCACACTTTGAAACATGAATGAATGAAAGCCATCACATTAGTCCTTGGCAATAAAGAGCATTAACTCCAGAAGACGGCCCGACGCCGTTGCGCATCAAAATCCAATCCAACACGCCCAGCTTTATATTTAATAAGGATGACTTCACTCACCGGAGATGTCTTGATGGTATTCGTGCCTCATACCTTATTGTTTGATTGATCTTATTTAAGATGATAGCGATGGATGGCTGGATAAATCCTTCCTTTGTTGTGCAGGTGAGCTAGGACGGTGCGACATGACGTGCGCCCAACTTATCCAGGTGAGTCGTCCTCTTAATCCAAAAAGGTAGCGGTTTTTACTTTGTGTAGCGACTATCAACCACCTTTTTGTCGCTTGTGGGTGCGGGAAATCTGGAATTTAACACGCTTAAAAGAGGAGATGGAAACCAGGATATAAGGTATGGGCGTTCCCATTTATTGAAGTATGTTTGTAGCCTATATGAACAAACTTTCCAAACAATCTGAGTGGCGGTCTTTACAACAAGTGAGATGGACAGGTAACTATGGAGAATGTGAAGATAACAGAATTTAACCGGAGGACGCAAGCTATTGTGTGCCAAAGAAAGCGGTAAAAACCGTATGACCTCCCGTCACCCAAAACCCTTTCTGCCCTCTCACGTCTTACCTATAAAGCCTTCCCCTCCACACCACCACCAGTGGTAGAGCAGAATATAGGCCACCACCACCCAAAACAAATAACCCAGAAACAAACCATGCCTAAACACCAACAACTATAAATGGCTCCTACAATATATATATATATATATATATATATATATATATATATATATATATATATATATATATATATATATATATATATATATATATATATATATATATATATATATATATAAAATTTCACGTTCAGTGTTTTTTTTGTTTCACAAACAAGACATTTTTCTTTGTCAAACATAAGTTTATTTTCAAACCTTTTGTATTTTTCAAACAAATACTCTTTGGCAATCCCTCAGGTTGAAGCCAGACACAACTTTGTCCAATTTGTTGACTCTAGGAGGCGCTGGCATGGTGATGACTCTCTTGAGATAGCAGCGCCGCCTGCAGCCGTAAGAGCAGAAAAAACTGGTTTAGTTACAACATGACAACATTAGCGAGTGTTACATTTTCCACTCTTCTTCAAAGGTTTGATAGAATTTGTGTTATAGCATTTTAGAAAAGCAGTGTACCAATATTCACTGTCAGAGAAGGTTTGATCTACGTAGGTGAAGAACTGACAGTTGGTGTCTTCATCACATTTCCTCTGACAGAGCTCTGCATCATCCATCAACTCTTTTTCAATGTCAGAGCCCTGGAAATCAACACCTTGGTAAAGCTGCTTGACCCAGTCTGTTAGGAAAGATGTCAAATAAATGTTGAAGTTACTTTCCCCACATAAGTCTACAGCTCAAGCATAAAGTCCACAGAATGTTGGCCATTCCCATGGGGCTGCAGAATAAAGTCGTTATAGGTACCAGATCTTTTCGGGGCCCTGTCCCTGCAGATGATGTCACAATATGACAACAGCACTCGAGCAGACTGAATTGGTCCCGTTTCATATGAATCAAATCTATTCTGAGGTCTCTGTTTATCATTACCTTTATTGAAGACTAAGACTAAAGGGCTGGTTATACTCCCTGCAGCAGCGCGACACAGTGAGTTTGTCGCAGATATTTTTTGATATATGCCCAATATTGAAGGGTGGTCTTTACTATGTTATTCCACGCCACAAAGCAAGAGGGGTAATCATGAACTAGCTACGGGTCTAGATACGGCTGAGGTGGTGAGAAAGTAGAGGCAAGTTAGTCCAACAACGGAGGGACATGAGGGCGAAAAAGAGCAGGGATCCAGGTGGAAAAAGGGTCCCAGCGTTCTCACGCACCTCGCTCTTGTAGCTTGTCCAGCTTCATGAGTCGTTTTCCACAATGGTGGTCATACAAACAAAGTAAGCTGGTAAGGTACCAAACAGGAAATATGCAAAGTGTAAAGCGGATGTAGATTTAACCAATCAGAGGCCTCCTGTCTGCAGCACTGTCTGTGGTCACCTACAATTTTGGAGAGGTGCAGCAGAGTGTCTGCGGAAGGGGACATGTAGATTACCTGGTTTCTGAGTATAAACCAGCCTTAATACTAAATCTGGCTATCAAAAGCCACACTGGTTCACTAGCTCCCAACTCAGCACATGGACACTTCGTTATGTTGTTATAAATGTCAGGGCCAACAACAACAGGTTTTATGTAATTGTGGCAACGTTCAGACAATGATAGAGTGCAACATCACCGAGATGCGCAGGGCCTCAGCAGATCTTACCAACTAAGCAGATCTGGTACCTACACCATCAGCGATGGTTTGTGGATTTTACTTCAGTGCCTCTAGTCGCAGTAAAGATATGAAAAGATCCTTTCAGGGCCTCTGTAGGTAAGACATCTAGCTCACATGACTGATAATTATTTAAACCAGAAAACAAAACAGGGTGTTAAACATTTTTAATCCTCTTACAAAATTTGTTCTTGTAAGCTTTTGTGTTAATCAGTGATACCTACTATCATCAAGCTGACAGAAGCGTGCAGGTATTCCTGATGTGGTTCCTTTTTTTGGTTTAGCTGTCAAGCCGCTTTGATTATTCTTTAAATAACAACTAAAGTCGTCACTGTAGAAATACAAAGAAACAAAGAAAGAAAAACAAATTTCTTTTTAAATAATCAATTGGGACAGCTAAGATAAAAGTATGATCTATTACCTGCTGAAAGAGAAGTAGGTGCACTGTGGGTTAGCAGAACACAGGACTTGACAGTGTTCAGGAGAAACAGACTTCAGCTCCTCAAGGTCGCTTCCTGGGATATCAGTGTTTGGAAAGAGCTGTTGCTGACATGCTGTAAAAGACACATACAAAACAATTACAAAAGAAAGATGGAAACTTCAACATTACACAATTCCTGAAGGGCCTTTTCTAAAACTGGCTTAGTTTTTAAATCAAAGTAACTGTGACTGACACATTATACCTGGGTTGAATCAGAATTTGGAGTCTAAATCTGATTTCCCATTATCAGAGCAAGTTTTATGAAATACCAACCAGAAATCTACTTGCTTGATTTGCTTACTTGTGGGGAATTCTTGAGTCTGTTGAGTTTTTTGGGCAAATCCAGATGTTACTCCAGTCTTTTTTTCTACGATAGGAGTCCTTGGGATGTTCCAGCTGAATTTAAGGTGACACTTGTACCTATAAGATATAGATAATATATATATATTTTTGGTAGAGCCAAGATCTTCAGTGTCATGAGCTTAAAAAGCATGCAGAAAAATAGCTTCCTAGGATAAATCCAGAGTTTATCTTTTGCTAACTACATTCCCTATGGCAAAAAGAGTCTAAGACAAGGACACAGGGCAGTCTAAGACAAGCTAAGACTGTCATGATCTTGGTGATGATGGCTGACTAAATTACTCCTTTAATTCACCTGTCTAGCTCTGCCCTGTTTGTCATCCCTGCTAATCTAATCCACCTGCTCCTGCTACTATTTAACCCCCTTGGCCCCAGCCATCAGTGCCATCTTGAGCCTTGTGTAAGAGTTCTCTTGTGTACCCAGTTGTGTTTCTGATAACCTGATCCTGACTAGTTTTTGCCTCTGGACTCCTGAGTTTTGCCTGCCCCTGTTTGATCTATTTGCCTGGCCTGTCTTAGGACTCCTGTTGGATTCTTCTGTGGACTGAACTTAGATTTGCCTCTTGACTTTGCCCCCTGGATTATTCATAATCTTTCACAATCACCCTCCTACAGATTATCGTGGTCATTAACCAGTGCTTTTCTCCTATGGACATTCCTACTTTAGACTTCCTAGCCGCTGATACCACAGATCCATAGGCCGTCGTTTGACTAAAAGCTTTTTAAGTTATTCCACTGTCTATCTTGCCTGAATTCTCGGTCCTACTTTCTGAGCTCTTACAAAGACTTCTAAACTATTGAGTGAAGCCAATCTTAAAAACAATGTGGCTGTTTTACTAACATTTAATCCACCATCACAGCTGGATTGGTCAGCTATTTACATAAAAGCCAAGGGTTTGGCTTTTAATTTGAAAATTTTAAAAGATCACCCTCAGGTAGTCCTGAGTCCAGACTTTTTATGTCTTTAAATCAGGGTTCCTCAATCCTGGCCTTAAGCGTCCTGCTTCCTGTACCTTTTGAATATTGAAACTGAGACAAATCTAAAAGAAGCAAGACATCAGACCTCTGGGACAGGAATGAATAAACCATGCCACAGATCTTCACCTGTAAATATGGTACGAGCATTAGACTGTTCCAAGCTTTTAAAAAACACTTAAGTTGGCTAACTTGCATCCAACCACTTATGATGAAACAGCTTCAAGTTCCAATTCAGATTATTTATGGGTACTTCAGACAGGTTACAACAGCAAGTGGTCAGCGTTCTCATAGCATAGTGTTTTGTATCTTATCATTTAATTTTATTTTCAGACCTACACTCTGCCCCAAGATTGAAAGGTTCTGTTTAGGAAACTGGACCTGAAGTTTTCTAGAAGTTGTTTCGCATCTCAAAAAGGAAGCTTCTTCAGTTCTTTAAATTAATATACTATAGGTGTAAAAAAAAACAAAAAAACATTATCCACTGTTGTGAGAAAATTTATATCTTTCTCTCATTATATATTAATATTCATATTTACTCACTATAAAAGTTTTCACTCAGTCTGTTTCTCTCTCAAGGCCACACCATTCCCTGCAGAATGTTGTTTGTAGACCAGACATAGCTTCTTCCCATAACAATCCAGATTCTTTCTCAAGGTTTATTCATAACATGTTACTGTTAAGCAAAGTGTGTGTAATTTGTTATGACTCTGACTGCTTTCGATTGTTGTAACTAGGCGGGGGACGAACCCTGCCCAGATCAGAACAGAGCAGAATGCTGTGCCATGATGACTGTTCTCTCTTTGCAAAGATGATTAATAAATGTGCCGACTGAGTGAAATCCATCGATCTCCGTTTATTTAACTAGGATGAATAGTTGAATACTTTTTTCCCACGACACCCCCTTGGGGACCTCCTTGCCCAATCCAGTAGGAGGGATCATAACCACCTTTTTAGAACTGAAGAAGCCTCTTGGATGAGAGGAGAGAGACTTCCAGTGGCCTTGATGGAACCTTTGAAGCCTGACCATGACCTGGATGACTGAGAATATTCACAGATATCTGCACCAAGAATATCAAGAAACAGATAGTAGAATTTACCTGTAATCCTGGTCGGGGAAATCCTCGCTTAGAAAAGTAAAGAACTGACAGCCAGGGTCCTTTGTGCAGACTCTCTGACACTCCTGATAATCAGGCGTGAACAAGGCTCTGTAGTCTGCCCCAAGAAAGTCCACATTTTGGAACACCTGAGAAAAACAAGGCCCTGGTTCGCCATGAGCAGAAACCAAATCAAAGAAAATATTAGACGGACCATGGAAAGCACGGAGAAAAAAATAAGTTTAGTTGAATAGAAACCAAAATAACAAATTGCCATTTATAACAAAGTCACAGCTAGTTGTTTTTTTTTTTTGTTTGATGGTTTATTTAATTTTTTCTTATTAAGTTATTGCTGTTTTATAGAGAATTAACGTTGAAAAAACAAATTTTCATTTTTACAGGAATTCTGCCATCCAACACAGACATAAAACAAAGGGGCAGTTTAAACAACCAAATTTCCCATGACGGAATCACCTGGATAAATGATTAACTCTTAAAGTATCTTACGTTACAGTAGTGTAATATTTAAAGTTTGTATTACCACAAACAGCCAATTGGCCAATCAAATAGCCGCACTTTCATGCATTTATTGTTCAGACGTTGATGATGATCTAAAATTCAAAGCTTGCTAAAAAAAAAAAAATAGTTAAGCAATTAAATGTGATTTTGGTTTTGAAACTACTGATCCACTAAATTTTCTACCCACAATCATCTTGCTTGTTTGAATTGATAGTAAGAATAACTGGGGCAAAAAGAGGTCCAACCTGATACTGAGAGGACTGACAAGAAGAATATCCAGGATGCTATATCAGATTTTTAAAAAACACACACAACTATATATACATTACTGTCTTGTGAGAAACATCTTTATAAGCCTTTAAGCCTAAGTCTTTTTCTCTGACTTTACTTCTTATTTTGAAAGATATCTTTAATTTTTTTTTCTGCAATGTAAATACATTTTATTTTGACTTCTTTGATTGTTGACCTACTTGCTGGAAAAATGCAGTTCTTTAGAGAAAATCCAGAGGTGACGCCCAGAAGAGGAATTTGGGTTGCTGGATCTCCAGACGGGGTTTTAAGGTAGCAGTAAAAGTGCCTGAAGAGAAGAAGGGGATGTCATTGTTGAGAATATTTACAATCTTTAAGGAAGTTAATTCAAAAATAGACAAAGAATTGCATGACATCACATATTTTCTCATTCATTGAAATCATTATCTTATTTTATGAGTGATTTGTCTTACATAAAATTCTTGTTTTATCCATCTTTAATCCCTACATTTAATTTGCATTGTTATGTTTCAGTCATTTTAAATCAGTTCTGTATTTACTTTAAGAGTATTCATTTCAGGGATTATTTTCAATGAAAAAAAAATAAATAACTGCGTTGCTCAATCCTTTATGTATAAGTGTTTCATACCTGTTGTCTCTGGTCCAGTCGGGTCGGATAAAAGTGAAGAAGAGGCATGAGTGGTGCTCTGTGCACAGCCTCTGACAGTGCTCAACAGAAGGAGAGTAAAGGAAGGTTATGTCTGTCCCAGGAAAATCTATGTTCTCCAGAAGTCCATCCCTGCATCCTAAAGGAAAAAAGTTTGAGAGAAGAAAAGTGTAAAATTACCTTCTTAGATGTTACAAAAAGGAAACATATTAAGCAAACAAAACATTTCCATGTAAATCCAAAAACACAGAGTGTTATAGTGAATTACCTTTAATGAAGGAAAAGCTGCTGGCTATTAGCAGGCCAACTAGAATAGAATACTTTTCCATCTTTTACTGCAGATACCTTCAGAGCTCCCTCAGCTTTTAAAAGAACCAGTTCTGCAAATATATAGCAGTCTAAGGGCAATTTACCACTGCTGTTTACGTACTCTGATTGCATCAAGTCCAAAGTTTTCAGTCATGTGGCCAGCTGTTTGTATAGAAGGGGGATGCCATCCCCCCTTAACATGAGTACTGCATGATAAGTGTCATGCAGTGTCAGGGTTTACCCAGATTGCGGTTTTCCCTTGAGGAAAACCGCAATCTGGGTAAACCCTGTCCTCCCTCCAACGAGCAAGTCATTCACTGGTACAACCCACACCGACTGGCAAACATGTTCACAAGTCATTTTTTGCAAGTCCAAGTCAAGTCTCAGGTCTTGAGAGCCTAAGTCCAAGTCAAGTCTCAAGTCTTGAGAAGGCCTGTCACAATTATCAATTAATCGCACAATAAATTCTAATCACTCGATTAATTAAAATAAGTGCAATAATTTGCCTGCTTGCTTGTTTCTCCTTGTGTTTTCATCTCCGTCACTGAGACGGTATAGCTTAAAGGTCGCTATTATATCTATGGAATGATCATTATCTTGAACTGGTAAATGAAAAATACAATTTAAAAAAGCACACACGCAATTTTTTTTCCAGTTAAATTTTGCATATTTATTTTTTTCTTTCAAAAACAACAATTTTCTCACAGTATTTACCTGACATTTGTGGTTACAACTTTTTCTAGTTTTAGGAGTAAATGTCTGCTCTTTTATTTTTATGTGAAAATGAGGGCTGTGGAAAAAAAAAACAATCACAATCCTGCTTTTTATTAATACATGTGAAGTTAGCAACTACAACAGATAAAGAAAAACCCTAAATAAATACCAGGACAATAACAATTCTTTCTTAAAAGAAACATTGTGGCAATAACTTTTTGTAACTTAATGCCCTGGAACAGACAGAACCGACTTGGCGGGCAGTATTTTAAGTTCAATTCAGTTTATTTATTTAGTGCCAATTCACAACATTATTCACAACATATTTCTCCTCTACAACTGCCATGAAGTTTTTGAAGCTTGGCTTGTCGATCATGCAAGCATGGGCACGGGCGTGACGTCAGTGCTACGTGACAGTTTGACAGCCCCTCTGCCGTTTTTTTTTTTTACCTCTGCTGTGTGTGGGTAAGGCGAGCGGCGATCAGTCAAGTTAGTAAAACAAAAAACGCTTAAAAATAAAATATTGTTCACAAGTCAGAAATCACGAGTCTCAGTCGAGTCTGAAGTCCTTTAAATGCAAGTCTAAGTCGAGTCTAAAGTCATTTAATATGCGACTTAAGTGCGACTCGAGTACGAGTCACAAACTCGAGTCCCCATCTCTGCTGACTGGATTCAACAAGAGACACCTTTTTCTGGAAACGTGAGTCCGTTGCCTTAATTCCCTTCTTTAAATCTAAGACACGAATTTCCCACTGAGCCTGAACTAACCACAGAATCTTCCCCTCAACTTTTCAGTCCCGGTTCGACAGTGTCCTGAGTAGGGGTGTAAATAATAATCGTTTTGTATCGATGCATCGATCCAACAGCCGACGATCCGATGCATCGATACGTCCGCAAGAATACCGATGCATGTTTTTTTTTTTCCTCTGGTCTATTTTTATCCATTTGCTCCTGGATGTAATTCTCCCTCCCGTGCTGCGGCGGCGCTAAACCTATTTTACCATCCTACCTCACTTCCTGGTTATACTCTTACAGCAATTTGTTGCAGTGAGCTTGACACTGACATTTTTTATTTATGCTCAATATTGAAGCGTGGTCTGCTTTATACACTGTGGGTCTAGATACGGCCGAGGCGGTGAGGAAGTGGGGGCGAGTTTAGTCCGACGACGGAGGGACATGAGGGCCAAAAGGAGCGGGGATCCAGGTGGAAAAAGGGTCCCAGCGTTTTCGTGCACCTCTTCTTCTAGCGGGTCAAATTTCACAAGTTGTTTTCCGCAATTTCGCTCATAAAAACAAAGCAAGCTGGCCTCCTGTCTGCGGCACTGTTTGCGGTCAGCTACAATTTGGGAGGGGTGCAGCGGAGCGTCTGTGGGGGGGGGGGGGGGGGGGGGGGGGGGGCGTCGACACTCTGGAGCCGAGGTATTGAATTGCACTCATTGCACTGATTTTGTGCAGTATTTTTGGATGCAAGGCCTTTAAGAATCTATAACACAGGGGTATTATTATTTTTCTGTGAATGAGGTTTCAATAGGAATAGGTGGAGTACAACTTTTCTACTTCTGTTATTTGCTGTTGTTTCTAAAAAAAAAAATGCATAACGATATTACAGCTTTCATTGATTTATTTCAAATTTGAAACATTGTCTAGCCTGTAAGGTGTAAAAAAAAAAAAAAAAAAAACCATTAATCGAATCGAATGGTATCGCAGTGTTTTTTTGAGTATCTAAAATAATCGAATCGTTGGGTCAGGAAATCGATACTGAATCGAATCGCTATGATGGATGTGATTTACACCCCTAGTTCTGAGCAGCACTGGACTCCTCTCAACCAACTCTCCATAAACTCTGTTAAACTTTTCCCTGGTCTCTCTGTTTGATCTTCTGCATGTGGGTCAGAGCTTTAGATAAAATCATGACAGAACACTCTGGCCAAACCGTTGACCCCGCAGAAGCCATTCAGAGAGCCATTAACCAGCAGCAAGCTGCTTTGTCCAGACACGACAACACCCTGGTTGATCTGGTCAATCAGCAGACTGAATTGAATCGCTGTGTTACCGACCTAACCAAGGCTGTCCGTTTTTCCTTCCAGGCTTCGGGCCGAGCCGGCGAGCTAGCCCCGCAGCAAGCTAACCAAGCCGTTTTTCCTTCCCCCCATTCTGAGTGTCAGCTGGCTAATCCTCTCAGGTTTGTAAAATTGTTTGTAGAACTCTGTGAACATTAAGACTGTCAGTGTGAGGGATGGCTTTAAACTTGAAAGTGATTGTGAATATAGTCAGATACTGTTTGCAGCTGCAGATCAAAATGAACAACATAACGCCCTCTGGCTTGAGGATTCTTGCGATGATAAAGGAAGGTTTAAGAGGGGAGGATGGTTGGCCAATGTGTTTGTGAACTCTGTATCTTGAAAATAAAGAGGTATCCCAGAATGCTTCAGACTGCTTCTAAACATTTTGAGGGAAAGAGAGCGCCAGGTTTAGGCATTGCAAATTCAGAACCTCGAAGTTCAAACTTAGAAGGCTCCGGACTACTGGGGGGGGGGGGGGGTTGATTGAAAGAACAAATGTCTCATCATCGGGATTTGCTCCGTGATCAGAGGAAATATTACTTGGCGCAGAACAGTGGTGAAAATTGGAAGTTCAGCTTAATATAATACAACTATGTGAATAGTTCCGTCTGAAATGAATAAAAAACAGTTGTTTTAATGGTTATTGAGTCAGATATGTGGCGGTAGTGTTTGATTTATCTAAAGGTTTTTATCTGTTACTGTGTAAATGAGTTTGGCTGGAATTTAAGGACAGATTCTAATATATCTGCAGCGTGGGAACTATAAATCTGATAGGAGTTTAATTTTTTTATTCTTGTTTTGCACAATATGCTTAACTAAGTATTTTTTGTTGTTGAATATTAGAGATTTAGCAGATATATTTTTATACATACATTGTTTAGATTTACTTATGTATTTCTAACCCTTTTACAGTATAGAAAATCCCTTTATTGTCCCACAATGGGCAAATTTACAGCAGCAGAAAGATTATTGAAAATAGTCACACAAATGAGGACCTTAGAAAAATGTATAAGAATAACATAATAGGGAAGACTTAAAATATAAACAATAAAATACTGTAAAGTGTTTTAACAATATAAAACTGGAGAATTAATAACCAATATGCAGCTATGGACATTTTTACAGTAATGGATATTTGAAAATAGCAGCAACATCAGAGTATGCAAAATGACAGCAGCAGGTTATTTAACTGACTAAGGTTTCTATCATTACATTTGATTTGATTTGTTCCTGCTCCCGCCGGTTGGAATCTTTATTCCACTCTGGATTCTTGTGAGTGTAGTCTTTGTTCGCTTTAATTTTATTTAAAATAAATAAATAAACAAACAGTTTTGAAAACCTCGGTATTGATTCTTTTCCTGCTTTGTGTTTCAACTTTCACGGTTGCTAAGCAACAAACCATACGGCGGTAGAACCCGCCGAAGGGTAGACCTCTTCGATTTTACAGCCAAAACTTTTCCGGCCTCCTTATTTTCAAAGACTTCGAAGGATCCAGTCTAGGTAGACCGCGTCCTTGGAGGATGCAGCCCAGGTTTTCGAACAGAGCCTCTGATTAAGAACAGGGCTGCCCGCACTGATGCGGCTCAGGGATTACGTCACACGGAGCGTCGTGCGCAGTGAAATCAGGACATTTCCTCACTTTCTAAAAAAAACCCGGGACGCCCAGGACAGGACGTGAAATACGGATATGTCCCGGGAAATACGGACGTTTGGTCACCCTATATAAAACCTCACTTAACCTCTGGTGTTGAGGTGAGCAAACAATCCTCTACCTCAAATGATCTGTCTGTGGTGTAACTGCCAACGTCACTCTGTTTACTTTCCATGATTCAATATATCTAAGCCAGGCAGAGGTGGGGAGAGTACCCAAAAATTATACTGAAGTCAAAGTAGTGCTACTTCACTATATTTTTATATATTTTTTTAAAATAGCCTTTAAAGTAATTAATTATCTAAGAGTAAAACATTATTTGATAGAAAGATTTTTTTTTTAAAAACATTATTGCATCTTAGCCCTTGTAGCGGCAGCTAGAAGCAACCGTTAAGGGATTTTTATACCAGCTTTTAAAAATGCAAACAGATTTCTTAACTGAATGTAGTTGGAGGTTATTCTGCAGATAGTATTCAGATTTGTCTCTGCTTTTAACAGAACTAGTTCTACAAACACAAAATGGCCAAAAGGCGATCCACCTCTGACTCTATTTACATAGTCTGATTTCTAACAAGTCCAAAATATTTTTTTAAAGCAACAGTTTTGGGACATCTCTAGCAGCTTCAGTGAAAGGCTTATTCTATTATTTGAGGATACCCTTAAACCTGAACTGCTTTTATGCTTTCAAATAAT